GCCAATTATATAGCTAGACCCCCTCTGTCATCCAATGTCACAGTGCTAGTACCAATGCATGTGAATGCTGGGCTCGCTGCGCTGCTTCTAGGGTCACCTTGGCTCGTTGAAGGGATGAATGCCGCACCATTCCATTCCAAATAATCGATCAGATCATGCATTCTGGGGGCTCCTTCGTCAGGGCATGACGAGGAACGATGTAGGTGGGCTCAATAAACCATCGAACCTCTGTAACGTCCTCCTATGGCTGACGTCGGTTTTGGGCGGAACGTCACTGTAATCCTCAGAGCAGACAGGAGATTTCCTATTAGACTCTTCCCAGCACAGATGACATCGAATAATGAGCCGCGTGGCTCTCGGTTCAGTCGTTCCAGTTGGCGGCCAGTTGGATTGCGCTCCTGTGACTCATTGGCGTCCCGTTGTTAGGTGTGGGGGTGGCTTCATATATAGCCGAATAACATGAGGAAAGTTCATCGATTGCAGAAACCTTTACATCACACAGCTGCAAATATCGCAGAGAGAGATCATGTGATACATAGTTATTGGGGCGTGATCAATATCCACCCGAAACCGGCCAGACGCAGCAGAGGAGGAGGAAGAGGAGGAGGAAGAGGAGGAAGAGGAGGAGGAAGAGAAGGAGGAGGAGGTCACCCGACATCTACACGCCTGTCAGACAGGATACATCTCCTCCACTAGGGGCGGCTGGATGCCCGAGGGCCCATATACAGATCATTATACCGAGATCAGTCCATCCCCTGGAAATCATTGCAACAGTGTTACAATATGATACAATACCACAATATATACAATACAATGTAACAATACAATTTAATTCTGCAATAAATACAATACAATGTAACAATACAATATCACAATAAATACAATACAATGTAACAATACAATACAATATATCATCACAATAAATACAATACAATGTAACAATACAATATCACAATAAATACAATACAATGTAACAATACAATACATTATAACATCACAATAAATGCAATACAATGTAACAATACAATACAATATAACATCACAATAAATACAATACAATGTAACAATACAATATCACAATAAATACAATACAATGTAACAATACAATATAATACTGCAATAAATACAATACAATGTAACAATACAATATCACAATAAATACAATACAATGTAACAATACAATACCGCAATAAATAAATACAATACAACATCACAATAAATACAATACAATGTAACAATACAATACAACATCACAATAAATACAATACAATGTAACAATACAATACAGCAATAAATACAATACAATGTAACAATACAACACCACAATAAATACAATACAATGTAACAATACAATACCGCAATAAATAAATACAATACAACATCACAATAAATACAATACAATGTATAACAATACAATACAACATCACAATAAATACAATACAATGTAACAATACAATACAGCAATAAATACAATACAATGTAACAATACAATACAACACAATAAATACAATACAATGTTACAATACAATGTAACAATACAATATCACAAAAAATACAATATGACGTAATAATACAATACAACACAACAATAAATTCAATACAGTGTAACAATACAATACAATGTAACAATACGATACAATACCACAATAAATACAATACAATGAAACAATATGATACAACAACACAATAAATACAATACAACGTAACAATACAATATTACAACAAATACAATATAATGTAACAATACGATACAACACCACAATAAATTCAATACAGTGTAACAATACAACATCACAATCAAAATTCAATACAATGTAACAATACAATACAACACACAATAAATTCAATACAATGTAACAATACGATACATCACAATAAATTCAATACAATGCAACAATATGATACAATACCACAATAAATACAATACAATGTAACAATACGATACAACACAACAATAAATTCAATACAATGTAACAAAACAATACAATAAAACATCACAATAAATAAAATAAAATGTAACAATATGATACAACACCACAATAAATTAAATACAATGTAACAATACAATACCTTAATAAAAACATTACAATGTAACAATACAATTCAACACCACACTAAATACAATACAATGTAACAATGCTATACAGAACAATACCACTATAAATGTAATACAATACAGAAGAATACTGCAAGAAATACATTACCATGTAACAATACAATAAAACACCACAAAAATACAATACAATGTAACAATAGGATACAATACCTCAATGAAAACATTACAATGTAACAATATGATACAATATGATACAACACCAAAATAAATACAATACAGTGTAACAATGCAATACCATAATAAATACTATACAGTGTAACACTATGATACAGAGCAATACCGCAATAAATACAATACAATGCTACAATAAAAAAATACAATACAATACAACACTACAATAAATACAATACCATTTAACAATACGATACAGAACAACACCGCAATTAATACAATACCATGTAACAATACAATACCACAATAAATATAATACAATGTGACAATACAGAGCTACAATAAATAAAATATAATACAAAGATACAATAAAATGCGTACAATATCACAATAAATAGATTACAAGGTAACAATAGGATACAGTAAATACCACAATAAATACAATACAATGCTACAATAAATACAATACAATGTAACAATACAATGCTACAATAAATACAATACAATACAAAGTTACAATATAATATTAACGTACGATACATTCTTACAAAGAGTACGATGCTAAAATACAGTACAATATAACAACGCAATACAATATTATAATATCATTTTTATAATATAAAATTTAAGAACCATACAACATGATGTCACAATGCAGTATGACAACAAATACAATAATACAATACGATACATTATAATTCATTGTTTATTATATAATAAATACAATAATGTGATAAAATATTACAGCACAATGTTACATTAATTACAATACTACAACACAATGTCAATGTACTGTACAATAAAATATTAAAATACAATGCATTCTTACAATAAATAAAATGCTAAAATGTAGTACAATATAACAATGCAATACAATATTATAACATGATTTTATAATATAATGTTTCAATACAATATGTATTTTCCAATATAATGTTATCATATAATATGACAATACAATAGAGAGGCAATACTATAATACGGTAATACTATACAATGTTACAATCCTACCATACCATATAACATTACAATAAGATCTTTAAAATATACAACATACTGTAACAAAACAATTCAATAAATACGATGCTGCCATACAATATTACAAAAATACATTATAACATTTCAATATTGCAATCATGACATTACTGCCGTACAATCTTACAATGATTATATTATAACAATGCAATATTACAATAAATACAATATAACAATACAATATGACAATAGATACAATATTACAATAAATACAATGTAACAATAAATGCAATATTTACAATAAATACAATATAACAATACAATATGACAATAGATACAATATTACAATCAATACAATGTAACAATAAATGCAATATTTACAATAAATACAATATAACAATACAATATGACAATAGATACAATATTACAATAAATGCAATATTACAATAAATGCAATATTTACAATCAATACAATGTAACAATAAATGCAATATTTACAATCAATACAATGTAACAATAAATACAATGTAACAATAAATGCAATATTTACAATCAATACAATGTAACAATAAATGCAATATTTACAATCAATACAATGTAACAATAAATGCAATATTACAATAAATACAACGTAACAATACAATATAACAATACAATATGACAATAGATACAATATAACAATAAATACAATATAACAATAAATGCAATATTACAATAAATACAATGTAACAATACACTATGACAATAAATGTGATATGACAATAAATACAACGTAACAATAAATGTAATATGATAATAAATACAATGTAACAATACACTATGACAATAAATATAATAATATTCTTCATGAATATTGCATCATTTTTCTCCCCCTTCCCATCACCAGAGGTGCGCTCACACATTGGGGGAAGAATTAACAAAACTAGTGCACTCAGAATCTGGTGCAGCTGTGCACGGCGGCCAATCAGCTTCTAGCGTCAGCTTCTTCAGTGAAGCTTTGACAATAAAAGCAGGAAGCTGATTGGTTCCTTTGTAGAGCCACACCAGATTTTGCAGATGTGCAGAATTTGTTGGCACTATACATGCAAATCAAATAAATTTCAATAAGCGTCTCCATGTGCCCCCCCCCCCCCCCCCCCCCCCCCGCTTTGCGCCATTTCAGTCCCTCCACCCCATGAATGGTTCCCCAGCAGCCGTCTTCCCCGCTCACACTTTTTAATACGAGTCCAATTTGAGGTCTGAAAGGAAATAAAACGGCCCTGTGGTAGCTCCAGGCAAGAATCCCTTTTAGCCCAGCCGTGTATGAACTGAAAATCATGAATGACCGCAACTGCAAGCGCCTGAAATCTTTAAATGAGCTTTCCAGATGCCTCAGGAATCAGAGAGCCAGCGCGAGGGGGCCGCCTTACTAACATGTTTCAGGCTCCGGGGGCCGGGGGGGGGGGGGGTTGTTTCGGCAGCTTCTAGCGGTGAGATGAACAGGGGGACTTGGCGGTGGCGATTTGGCGATGTCGGCTTATAGGCCAGTGAACAGGCAGGAGGCACAGCACCATCGCTGAAGAGTGGTGTCACCCTCCAATTGGGGAGTGTGAATCACAAGACTGGCTAGACAGAGTTAAGAACCTTTTGGCTGGGGAAGCTGTTCACATATTGGCTGGATGTTCATCGGGGGAGGGGGGAGTTATGTTTTTAACAATCTGTTGGACATGGAATATGGTTACTGAACGCAGAGATTTCCTGTAATCTGCCCGGCATGCATTCTGCCTCCTAGTACTTACCTCTGAATTCCCCCCGGCAGGTCTGGCGTGGGACTCTGGCTCGCTGGCGATTCAAGCGTCTGAGGGCCATTTACAAGATTATGAGCTGTTACAAATGCTACAAAGTCCGCTCCCATCTGATGGAGGTGGTGCGGCGTTTTGAGGATGTGCGCAACATGGCGGACTATGGGAGGAGCGTGGAGTGGCCACAACCGCCCGCCGTACTGGAACAGTTCCAAGACCTCTGCCAAAGTCTGTTTAAGAGGTAGGTGGATGTTTGTCCAACTAGACCCTGGTGACTGTGACGTATCCCAAGCATCCTGTGACACCCTCTGACCCCTGTGACCCCAGAGCACCCCGAGCAACCTGTGACACTCTCTGACCCCTGTGACCCCAGAGCACCCCGAGCATCCTGTGTTACCCCCTGACCCCAGAGCACCCTGAGCATCCTGTGACACCCTCTGACCCCTGTGACCCCAGAGCACCCCGAGCAACCTGTGACACTCTCTGACCCCTGTGACCTCAGAGCACCCTGAGCATCCTGTGTTACCCCCTGACCCCAAAGCACCCTGAGCATCCTGTGTCACCCCCTGACCTCAGAGCACCCCCTGACCCCTGTGACCCCAGAACACCCCGAGCATCCTGTGACACCCCCTGACCCCTGTGACCCCAGAGCACCCCGAGCATCCTGTGTTACCCCCTGACCCCAGAGCACCCCGAGCATCCTGTGTCACCCCCTGACCCCAGAGCACCCCGAGCATCCTGTGTCACCCCCTGACCCCAGAGCACCCGAGCATCCTGTGACACCCCCTGACACCTGTGACCCCAGAGCACCCCGAGCATCCTATGACACCCCCTGACCCCAGAGCACCACCTGACCCCTGTGACCCCAGAGCACCCCGAGCATCCTGTGTCACCCCCTGACCCCTGTGACCCCAGAGCACCCCGAGCATCCTGTGTCACCCCCTGACCCCTGTGACCCCAGAGCACCCCAAGCATCCTGTGTCACCCCCTTACCCCAAAGCACCCCCTGACCCCTGTGACCTCAGAGAACCCCAAGCATCCTGTTTCACCCCCTGACCCCTGTGACCCCAGAACACCCCGAGCATCCTGTGTCACCCCCTGACCCCAGAGCATCCCCTGACCCCTGTGACCTCAGAGCACCCTGAGCATCCTATGTCACCCCCTGACCCTAGAGCACCCCCTGACTCCAGAGCACCCTGAGCATCCTGTGTCACCCCCTGACCCCTTTTGACCCCAGATTACCCCAAGCATCCTGTGACACCCCCTGACCCCTGCGACCCCAGAGCACCCTGAGCATCCTGTGTCGCCCCCTGACCCCTGTGACTCCAGAGCACCCCGAGCATCCTATGTCACCCCCTGACCCCTGTGACCCCAGAGCATACCAAGCATCCTGTGTCACCCCATGACCCCTGTGACCCCAGAGCACTCAGAGCATCCTGTGTCACCCCCTGACCCCTTTTGCACCTTTAGTATATTTTGTCACCCCAAGACCCTGGTGACTCCAGAACACCCTGAGCTTACTGTGTCACCTGTGACCCCTGTGAGTCTAAGGCACCCTGAGCTTCCTGTATCACTCCATGACCCCTGTGACTCCAGTGCACCCTTGGCATCCTGTATCACCCCATGACCCCTGTGATTCCAGTGCACCCTTGGCATCCTGTATCACCCCATGACCCCTGTGACTCCAGTGCACCCTGAGCTTCCTGTATCACCCCATGACCCCTGTGACTCCAGTGCACCCTTGGCATCCTGTATCACCCCATGACCCCTGTGACTCCAGTGCACCCTTGGCATCCTGTATCACCCCATGGCCCCTGTGACTCCAGTGCACCCTTGGCATCCTGTATCACCCCATGAACCCTGTGACTCCTGTAACTTTAGCAGGTTCAGTGCACCCGTATGACACCTGTGTACCCTCTAGTACACTCCTGTAAGCTCCAACCCCTGTCTGTGACCCCCCCGAATTCCTTGTGTCCCTGTGTCTATGTGTCATTTCTGTCCTTCCTCTTCTGCAGATGGCGAGCTCGGAAGATAGTGAAGAACATTCCGCCATCAGAAATGTTCCAGATTAAATGCAAAGTCTGCGCCATGGAGGCCCTACAGGACCTGCGGAGGGATGTGGGCTACCATCGGCCATGGAAGCAGAACTATCTAGCCTGTGTGAGTAGAAGAGGGATGAGAGGAATCAGGAAATTCGATTTTCCAGACTTTTCACCCAAAATCAGGTTTCAGTGATAATTCACCATTTCGGCGAAGCACATTGGAGTCAAGAGGGAAGGAAATGAAGGTGGTTTTTGAAAAATGTTTAAGTGTACAATGGAAAATATTTGGGTCCTGACGAGATGCATAACTTGGAACTGTTCTTATTGGAATCAGTGTACTTTTTTTTTTCAGAAAGACAAAAACAGACAGTAACAAAATGTAAAATAAAATTTAAAAAAACATATAATGCTTATATTTTGCCTTTCCTGATTCCTGCCTTTCCATTCATCAACATGCTATTCAGATTCTTAGATAAATCCTTTCCATTTTCAATACATAACTTTTTTGTAGACCCAACGATGTCATCACTGGGTCTCTGTTCTTCTCTATGCAATGCAGGCAGATCATGGCTGGTGGGAGGGGCTGGCAGGGTGCTGTACATGCATGAGATGACGGTATCTTGGGATTGGTTGCTCTGGCAGTTTCTGACTCATTTTTTGGTCTCAGCAGGAAGCGGACAATCCCAGCGGAGCCGTATCCTTCTCCAAATCGCTGCAGATGCTGAGGAAGAAGGATAACCACAGCTCGGTGCTGTTCACCTGTCACATCCGAAAGGTGAGCTCCCTCGGGTTGGGAAGGGACTATCACTTATGTACACCAAGAGGGGGCAGCCTCAGGGGGTCTGCGTGTAACTGAGATGACCTGAGTATCAGGAAGGATAAAATAATGAAGATCATAAAATGCTTCTCCATAATGGGTTAGGGGATCGCTGAAAAAGTGACACACCAGACAGTTCCCGAATGATGACTTCCAAACAATATCTATCCTTCGTCTATGGTGCTGAGTATTATCCTCCATCCATGGTGCTGAGTATTGTCCTCCGTCCATGGTGCTGAGTATTGTCCTCCATCCATGGTGCTGAGTATTGTCCTCCGTCCATGGTGCTGAGTATTGTCCTTCATCCATGGTGCTGAGTATTGTCCTCTGTCCATGGTGCTGAGTATTGTCCTCTGTCCATGGTGCTGAGTATTGTCCTCTGTCCATGGTGCTGAGTATTCTCCTCCATCCGTAGTGTTGAGTATTGTCCTCCATCCATGGTGCTGAGTATTGTCCTCCGTCCATGCTGCTGAGTATTGTCTTCCGTCCATGGTGCTGAGTATTGTCCTCTGTCCATGGTGCTGAGTATTGTCCTCTGTCCATGGTGCTGAGTATTCTCCTCCATCCGTAGTGTTGAGTATTGTCCTCCATCCATGGTGCTGAGTATTGTCCTCCATCCATGGTGCTGAGTTTTGTCCTCTTTCCATGGTGCTGAGTATTGTCTTCCGTCCATGCTGCTGAGTATTGTCTTCCGTCCATGGTGCTGAGTATTATCCTCTGTCCATGCTGCTGAGTATTATCCTCCATGCATGGTGCAGAGTATTGTCTTCCGTCCATGCTGCTGAGTATTGTCCTCCGTCCATGGTGCTGAGTATTATCCTCCATGCATGGTGCAGAGTATTGTCCTCTGTCCATGGTGCTGAGTATTGTCCTCTGTCCATGGTGCTGAGTATTGTCCTCCATCCATGGTGCTGAATATTGTCTTCCGTCCATGATGCAGAGAATTATCCTCTGTCCATGGTGCTGAGTAATGTCCTCTGTCCACAGTGCTGATTATTTTCCACCATCCAGAGGACTGAGTATTGTCCTCTCTCCATAGTGCTGAGTATTGTCCTCTCTCCATGGTGCTCAGTATTGTCCTGTGTCCATGATGCTGAGTATTGTCCTCTCTCCATGGTGCTGAGTCTTGTTCTTCATCCATGGTGCTGATTATTGCCCTCCATCCATGGTGCTGAGTATTGTCCTCCATCCATGGTGCTGAGTATTGCCCTCCGTCCATGGTGCTGAGTATTGTCCTCTGTCCATGGTGCTGAGTATTGTCCTCTGTCCATGGTGCTGAGTATTGTCCTCCATGCATGGTGCTGAGTATTGTCCTCTGTCCACAGTGCTGATTATTGTCCACCATCCAGGGCACTGAATATTGTCCTCTCTCCATGGTGCTGAGTATTGTCCTCCATCCATGGTGCAGATTATTGTCATCCACCCATGCTGCTTAGTATTGTCCTCCATCCATGGTGCTGATTATTGCCCTACATCCATGGTGCTGATTATTGCCCTACATCCATGGTGCTGAGTATTGTCCTCTGTCCACAGTGCTGATTATTGTCCACCATCCAGGGCACTGAGTATTGTCCTCTCTCCCTGGTGCTGATTATTGCCCTCCATCCTTGTTGCTGAGTATTGTCCTCTGTCCATGGTGCTGAGTATTGTCCTACATGCATGGTGCTGAGTATTGTCCTCTGTCCACAGTGCTGATTATTGTCCACCATCCAGGCCACTGAATATTGTCCTCTCTCCATGGTGCTGAGTATTGTCCTCCATCCATGGTGCAGATTATTGTCATCCACCCATGCTGTTTAGTATTGTCCTCCATCCATGGTGCTGATTATTGCCCTCCATCCATGGTGCTGATTATTGCCCTCCATCCATGGTGCTGAGTATTGTCCTCCATCCATGGTGCTGATTATTGCCCTCTGCCCATGGTGCTGAGTATTGTCCTCTCTCCATGGTGCTGAGTATTGTCCTCTGTCCATGGTGCTCAGTATTGTCCTCTGTCCACAGTGCTGATTATTGTCCACCATCCAGGGCACTGAGTATTGTCCTCTCTCCATGCTGCTTAGTATTGTCTTCCATCCATGGTGCTGAATATTGTCCTCTGACCATGGTGCAGAGCATTATCCTCCATCCATGGTGCAGACTATTGTCTTCCATCCATGGTGCAGAGTATTGTCTTCCATCCATGGTGCTGAGTTTTGTCCTCCATCCATGGTGCTGATCATCGCCCTCCATCCATGGTGCAGAGTATTGTCCTCCATCCATGGTGCAGAGTATTGTCCTCCATCCATGGTGCAGAGTATTGTTCTCCATCCATGGTGCAGAGTATTGCGCTCCGTCCATGGTGCTGAGTATTGTCCTCTCTCCATGGTGCTGAATATTGTCCTCGTCCATGGTGCAGAGCATTATCCTCCATCCATGGTTCAGAGTATTGTCTTCCATCCATGGTGCTGAGTTTTGTCCTCCCATCTATGGTGCAGAGTATTGTCCTCCATGCATGGTGCTGATCATCGCCCTTCATCCATGGTGCAGAGTATTGTCCTCCATGCATGGTGCAGAGTATTGTCCTCCATGCATGGTGCTGATCATCGCCCTTCATCCATGGTGCAGATTATTGTCATCCACCCATGCTGCTTAGTATTGTCCTCCATCTATAGTGTTGAGTATTGTCCTCCATCCATGGTGCAGCGTATTGTCCTCCATGCTTGGTGCTGATCATCACCCTCCATCCATGGTGCAGAGTATTGTCCTCCATCCATGGTGCAGAGTATTGTCCTCCATCCATGGTGCAGAGTATTGTCCTCCATCTATGGTACTGAGTATTGTCCTCCATCCATGGTGCTGAGTATTGTCCTCCATCCATGGTGCTGAGTATTGTCCTCCATCCATGGTGCAGAGTATTGTCCTCCATCCATGGTGCTGAGTATTGTCCTCCATCCATGGTGCTGAGTATTGTCCTTACTCCTGTACTGAACAATGCTCATATAATGAAGTAGGGGTACCATTTAGTGCAGTGATACAGTGATCCTAAGCTCAGAGAACGTGGATGGAATGATGCTGTGTGTCATTAAACCCGAGGACTAGTAACACCTAGTGATGGAAAGGAAGAACTACAGGAGACAGCTCCGGACTGGAGATGACAATTGCAGCAAAAGCCGCTATTGTATCTTTCCTTTTCCTGAACTGTTCATTTTAATTTGAAATATGTGAGTGGAGTTCAGCCTTAAGCTGTGGAAAGTTTGCCACTGGAAGCTCCAGAATCAGGTTTTAGTCCTCCCGTCCTCCTTAAACCGGTAATGACTTGTGACACCGCGGGCAGCTGTTTTGGGAAATCGAATTTATTGTTATTAAATGCAGTAGCAAAGAAAAGCGATTTTCAGTGGAAAAGCAGAACCTGGGCTTTCTGCGTGGAAGAAATTGGATGAGAGATGGCGGAGAGGAGAATTGTCACAACGAATCTGGATCAACCTTCCTCTCCGCCATCCCTCCACCTCACTGGTGCCGCTGCGGCCCGCTCCCAGCTCTCCTTAACCCCTCAATGAACCGGCGATCTGGGCTGCGATTGGCAGCGTATTCCTGCACCAGGTGTCTATTTTTAGCATCACGGGCGCGCCTACATGCGCACTTTTTCCATGAAGGTGTGCAAACAATGGAATATATATGTGCAATATACAGGAGCTTTGGCCAGGTGACCAATGTAACGGAACCAGACCCCAACTGCACTTGGGTATTTCCGTTAGACTCCCGCTTCCCTGTCCGAACACAGATCCACGAACACCACCGCTGGCCATACGAGACAGCACCAGGCTTCTTAAGACAGGAAGTGAACTGCTTTATTTTAAACACAAGATATATACACAGGGCGGGGAAAATACAACCAGGAACAGGAAACACATCAGCAGGCCGTCCCATCAGGGGGAAGGGCTGCCGGAAACACCCCCCACCAAACCAAGACACACAATAGAACAATGGGATACACCACGTGGCAGTAGACAATACAGGAACACATACATCCCATAATAGTTTTCTAGAACAATGGGATGCAGCCACATGGCAGAGAACAATGAACAATCTCCACACCAATATTAGAACATTCCACCCTGTACCCCAAACAGGCACAGGGTGACTTACACATAATGGGAACATGGGGAGCTGAGACAGGGGTCCCCCCACCCCCAAAAGTCACTCCCGTCACAACCATAGCTGACCATCATGAAGGTACTCTATAAAATCGCTGACTGTTAACAAGTGGGCACTGTCATTGGCCGGTGATCACGTGACAACGCATTGCTGCAAAAACTCAGCTTCATCCTGAAGATCCGGCCTCTCTGCCCTCTTGGGAAAGACAGAGATGGACCTCTACGCCTGTAAGATGGACTTCCTAATTGGCTAAAATTGTCACCAAGAACACAAGTCCCGACCCCCACTCCTGTCCTGCTAGAAGACTGTACCCCATGCTGAGGCCAAGCCCTCCGCCATATTGTGCCCCACTTCATGCCAGAGGCCTCCACTAGACATTCCCAGCCATTGACCTTTATATCCCAAGGAAGGAATGTCCACACCTGAGTAGATTTGCTGGACTTTAGTGATGGAACTAATGAAATGGCATAAGAGTCACATCACATCGACATACATTCTGGAGTCACTTGACAATACATGATCAATCACATTTAGTGGACGGTCTGCAGTAGCCACACGTGAAAGCATATGAAGCCACTTTAGCAGCTGTCTCCCCTTTTGGCCTGGCCTAAAAGACCCTTAGCCCCCACCTCCATAAGGGAAAGTCTACAGCCAGCTCTTCCTGGGTGCAGGTCGACTTCCCCCAGCCATGCTCCTGCCCTCCTATACGCGCTGGCTATATCCTTGCTGGTGGGGGGTGTTCAGCTTCCATGCCCCAAGTGCACTTGGGCTCCTCCCAACCTGGCTTATAATTGGACACTGACTCATGACATCACTGCAGTGTA